GCGCCGGCCATGGTGATGGTGTGGTCCGCCATAATAGCTGATGGTCGCTCTCGCTCGTATTAATCGACCGTGGCATCAGAATAAGTGCGCAATATTATCGCGAAAATATTATGGAGTGTGTATTAAAACCTTGGGCAAGCAAACATTTTGGCCGCAGACCTTGGACATTCCAACAGGACTCGGCACCATCGCACTCGGCACGCGCCACCCAAGAATGGTTACAAAACTTGTTTTGGTTACAAAATGAGGTTCCTCACTTTATTTACAGTGCACAATGGCCACCAAAATCTCCGGATACCAATCCGTTGGACTATTGTGTGTGAAGTACTTTGGAAAGCAAGGTTGGCACTAAAAAAGACCAAAATACCGCAGAGCAACATTCGGGCAGCATGTGACGGTTTCATGGCCGTTTGAAGGCCATAATTCTACCAAAGGTGACCAATTCGAACAAATCTAAACTTATTCTAAAATTTGATGCTATTTCCGACATTTTTTGCTTTCATTCAATAAAATTGAAAAGACAAGTAAACAAAGGCTACAATCGCGCGGGGCCGACCACGTGATATCCTACAACACTACAATATGTTAGAAGCCACCTTATGCCCAAATCCATTTTAGAAGATTTCGCTGCCCAGAACACTGCCCAGATATTACCCTTAGCATTTCGACCAGGGTTATTTGCCCAATATTTACCCACTCAGTCGCGTTGTTAGTTGTTGTGATCCATTTTATAGCTAAATATAATCCAATGGCCATCCAAAATACTGTAATTTTTCCCTGTACTTAACTCTCTTCTCAGGCGTGTCGATTAGCTTCAATTGTGTGATCTGTTTTTGGTTCATTTGAACCGCTAAATATTTTACGATCATCTTCAAAAGCAAGAAGCACAAAAGTAGTGGTCCATTCTACCAGCTGTCCTAAACTCTAACTTCATGCGAGATTTCGTGTCCTTCGGTTTCTCTTTGTGATCTTTATAACGACTTCAAAATCAGTTTTTTAGTTGGTCCATTTAACCCCTTAATATATTGCGGACATCATTAAAAACAATAGGCCTAGCCCTTCTGACCCTAACCCTACCCTTGTGAAAATTTTCGTGAGAATCGGACGATAAATGCAATCTGTCTATAATAACTCCAAACTGTATTGTAAGGTGAAGAAATATTACAAAATATAAACTTCAATATTATAATTCAAATTGAAAAATCGCAAATAAGTCAAATTGAAAAAATATGAAAATGTAAAAATGTCAAATACTACTACAAAATCTATATTAACATCATTATTGGCAGGGTACAATGATATCAAGGTAGGGCTATGATACCATATGATTTTAATTATACCCTACAACACTATGTGTTGAGGGTATTATAAGTTTGATTGGGCCAAAAATTGTGTAACACCACGAAATATTGGTTTCCCACATAGGAAAGTATATATGGATCATCCTAGCTCGCCGAACTGAGTCGATCTAGCTATGTATGTCCGTCCGTCCGTCTGTCCGTCTGTCCGTCTGTCCATGTTAATTTGTAATCACTCTACAGGTCGCAATTATGGCCCGATCTTCACGAAATTTGGAATGGAGGTCGGGGTTGGGCCAGAATAGAACCCTATTTCTTTTCGAGATGATCGCCAAATGTTTACGGGTTGAAATGGACCAAATACTGAAAAAATGTCGGATTTTGCAGTAGCTATACAGGTCGCAATTAATGACCAATCGACGCGGAATTTCGCATGTAGCTAGAGTTTAGGACGGGGAAGAAGCCTACCAATTTGGGTGGTCATCGGATAATATTTAGCGGGTAAAATAGACCATATATTTTGTGTTGAAAAAATTCAAAGTTTTTCATTAAACCGCGAATATTTTAAATCCCGGCGAAATCGCAAAGCCATGACAAGGTTACTTCTGACCTTTACATTGATGTTAACATCCAACAAATCGGATATATAGCAAAATATGTGCGATATAGGGTAAGTGTGCCTAAGTTCGGCATGTCCCAGTAGTCGGCACTTTTTATTTTTAAGACCAAATAAATGAAACTATTATAACTAAATGTATTTTGTTTACTTCAAATATATTGTCAGCTATCTTTGTGCACAATTCTGCTAAGAAAAGATGAATTATTCTAATAAAAATTAAATTTTTGTCTGTGAAGGTCCTAAACAATTTATATTCTTAAGAAAAGTACAATAAAGACGTCGAATCAGTTTAACTAAACAAAAATATTATATTTTAATGAATTAATTTGTTATTATTATTAATTATTCTTACAAAAAAAATTGGTATGCCGACTGTTGGAAAATGCCATACCGACAATTGGCAAGTGGTGCCGACTACTGGCAAAAAAGCATTGTTTTAATAAAACTACAAATTTATGAAATTTAATAAAAAGTTATTAAAACTTTATTTATTATTGCAAAAACTATACAAAATTTCGAATCTGAATAAATTAACTTTGTAATAATTGAAATGTTCCACTCAGAATGGTGAGCGATTAAAAACGCGAAAATCTTAAAAGTGCCGACTACGGGTACACTTACCCTACATGTCTATCAAAGAAGATATGCTTGAAAGATCTCTTATATGTCGAGAACGGCTGAACTGATTTCGACAGTTCTCATTAATTCAGAATGGCCTCTTGGCAGGAAAGAAAAAACGTCTAAAAAAATCGCATAAAAATATCTCTCTAAAGATGAAAATATTGATTTTGTAAAATTTTCTCATATTTTTTCAATATTTTCATATTTTTGCCATATTTTCATTTTGAATTAAACATTTGGTAATATTTCTACAGCTAACAAAACTAAGTAGTTAGGATATTAGGATATCATATACAGATCGCATTTATGGCCCGATCCTTACGAAATTTTGCATGCGGATAAGATGAGGGTCAGAATAGAAGCCTACTCTTTTTGGAGATGATCGCCATATATTTAGGGGTTGAAATGGACCAAAAAACTGGAAAATTGTCAGCAGGTCGTTATTATCGCCCGATCCTCACGCACATTTGAAAGGGGGTTACCGGACATTGCAAAAGCCAAGCAGTTTTGGATGGCCATCCAAAAATATTCAATGTGTGAAATAGTTTGCCAACTTTTGTAGACAAAATACGAAAATGTCCATTCCAGAGACTTTTTCGAGGATTCACAAATACAGGAAAGACGCAGTTCTGACTATTTCGTTAACGAATATAGTCAAATGTCTGTATCTCATATAGATGCGTTTCAGTCAAAAACCAATAATAAATGTTAATCTTTTGCCACTTCTAAGAAATTATAGGTCTTTGGTAAATATTGGTTCCAGATCTAGGAAGACCATTTAAGTGCAACATCTACCAATAAATTGGAAATGAGCAAATTAGTTTAAGTTGCTATTATTCGAAAATTAGGGAACGAAACCTGATGGTTTTCTTTTATAATTTGTCACAATATCTTGTGGAATTCTTTCGAGTATCTCGCCTATATAAACTGTATGGTTTATTATAGTGTTGTAGGGTATTCAACGGTCGGCCCCGCTCGACTGTAGCCTTTGCTTACTTGTTTTTTTATTTTCTTGGCCTAATATGTCATCTTTTTTTGTTTATGTATGTGTTTTCTTTACAATAACAAAAAAATTGTTCAGAAAACATTCAAATTCGGGTGTTTTCAAAATGTTCATTTCAACGCATGCATCGACAAAATCTAGAGTTTTTGTAGCGAAATAATCCTTGAGAGATATATAGAACATGGTTTTGAAAAAAAGTGTTGACCTTTCATTCAGTTATTGCGGTTTTCAATTATTTATTCAAAATAAATGCAACAAGTTGTTTGATTTTTTATTGTTTTGATACTAATTCTGACATTGCAAGCCAAACAGGTAGACCTCTATGCTTGCAATTTTTTCAAAGTTGACCTACCTTCTCTTCATTGTACCATGATTTTTGGCATCTTTTTATGTGATTTTTTAGATTTTATTATTTTATGTCAAAAGGGCATTCTGAATTGACAAAATTTGTAAAAATCGGTCCAGCCATTCTTGAGATATAAGCTTTCTGGCTTAAATCCCCTTCCTTTGTATATATACATATTGTATTTCGCTATGTATATATCTGATATATTTACTATCGGCATCTACGTAACGGTCAGAATTGACCTGTTTGCTTATTTCTGATTTCGCCGGGATTAAAAATTGTCGCGGTTTAATGAAAAATTTAAAAATTCAACACAAATGTTATGGTCTATTTCATCCACTAAATATTACCCGATGACCGTCAAAATTGGAAGGTATCTGTCCAGCCCTAATTTCTAGCCCCATGCTAACTTCCACTGACTGCAAAATCTGGCAATTTTTCAGTTTTTGGTCCATTTCAACCCCTAAATATTATGCGATCATCTCCAAAGGCAATAAGCTTCCATTCTGGCCCTAGCCCCACCTCCATTCTAAATTTCGTGAAGATCGGGCCATAATTGCGACCTGTAGGGTGATTACAAATTAGCATGGACAGACGGACATACATAGCTAGATCGACTCAGCTCCGCGAGATAGGAAGATCCATATATACTTTCCTATATCTGTGGTACTTTTCTGTTTTGTTAATTTATCTGTGAGTCCAACAGATATCAACATTAAAATTTGATAGAAAGAGAGAAATCGCCAACTCAATGTATATAACTGAAATCCATCCAGCACCTATGTATTAGATCTGTCCGATTTCATGTTAAAACCGCTCTAAAGTCGTAAAACTCACAATTATTGTTCACACAAATTTGTAATATAAACTGTATTTATTACAGATAGTTCTTCATGTGCGACCCGCAGGAATATCCCATGCAATGATGGTTCTCAAAACTACATATTTTATTTCCATTATGTTTGGTCCCAGTACTCTCCCCCGGTATAGAAAATCGTGCTTACTTATTATTTTGGGATATTGCCTGTACTCCATGTACACAATCAAGCAAATAATGTATCTCTTGAGGTGTAGGGCATTGCAATAATCCCTTCAAAAAAATAAAATAAGAAGTACAATTTTTCGTTTTATTTAAACAATGTAAAAAACTTATGTACTAAAATATAAATAAACTTAACAAATCTTAAATACTAAATTGGCAATTCTTCGACGGCATTAGACATTTTATGCTATTACATATACATGTATGTGGGTATGTAGACACACCGTGGAGTTGATTTAAACCAACATGCTGGCGTTATTGTCACAAAATTCATAAATATTATCAACAAATAACATTTGTTCGTTGCATTTGGGTTCGGCAGTGTCAATGGGGGTGGGTAGGGGTTGCGCTTCTGGCTTCAACAACTTCTCAATGTCGACGGGGACACCGCATTCATTTGGATTGGTTTCCAATGTCAGACGTTTTAGATTGTTTATTATCGATATATCCTGTTTGATTTCCTTTTTGACCTCGAGTAGCTCATGTTCGGTGCGTATGATTTCCCTAGCGTAGGCTTCAATGTTTTCCTGAATTTGTCCCACTGACATTTCTAGATCTTTGTCTGCGGCAGTATACAGTTCATTTTGTAACTTATAGAGTTTGCATTTATTGGTTAGTTCTTTGGTCAGAGCATATTCCCGATCGTATAGTTCATTCATTTGGGCATTCTTTTGAGCTAGTTTACTGCGAACCGAACTGCGAATGGTGGAGTCTTTACGTCTTCGCAAATAATTGCTGCTACATTCGGCGTTGGATATTTTATCATGGGCGGTACTACTACTTCGCTTCTCTTTACGTCGATGGCTTCGGCGTTTACGTTGCGATGAACGATTTTCGGATAAACGATATAGTTTCTCTTTGTTGACTTTGTTTTTGGCTCTCACATCTGACTGCTCCTTCGACGGCTTTAGATTCGTATTTAGCCCGTTCAAATCAACCCCATTGGTATCATTCTCAGCAGAATCTGGTATTAGTTTGTCCAGTAGTTTCCCATTATTGTCTTTGCCGGAATTTGTTTCGTTTGTCTTCGTTTTCTGGCCATTATTGGATGATAATTTTTGCTGGTTTTTCTTTTTGTTGGATTTCTTTCGTCCAAATTTCAATAGCTTACAAATGTAGTTGCGTATACAGGTTAGGGTGGTGTTACTTTTGAACGCTTTGCTAGGATCTTGTATGTCTTTGTGATGTTTCAAACTTAAACGAATCTAAAAAAATGGACAAGAAATGACACGGTTAATTAACGTTCAATAAAGGGGAATGTTCATATTGTCATTGATGTAAGTATCTTTTTATAAAGTTTATTAATAATACTAATAGTAATAAGTAAAAAAGATTCTAAGTTCGGTCGGGCTGAAAATTTAATAACCTCCACTATTTGTAAGAAAATTAAAAACTCGTTTAAAAATCTGCTTCTAAAATTATTAAAATACCGAATATAGGGTGGTATAGTTATTCTCTGCATATTGCGATCTCAAAATCTCAATAGCTCCATTGTGAAATATGGCTCAACTCGGAAAAAATACCGAATGTCGAAAGATATCGGGGAATATATGAACATGTAGACCTTCGTAGGTTATTTTCTTTTATAGGTGTGGTGGTACCCATTACGAGCTCCAATACCAAATACGAGACATCATTAAAATACGCAGTATTTTTAGGTATAGTTATATGTCGATAAAATCATCGAAATACTGGATATAGGGCTATACTAGAGAAATTTTCGTCATGGCATTTTCGTCAGAGTACCCATTGCAAACTCGAACTACTAAAATTAAAATAATTTCAGTGAAAAATTTTGCTAAAAAATGAAGACACCGTATACCAGAAGGTCCCGTGTGTCCAAATAGTTACAGTTGGGACTATACGCGTATATGGGGTTTATACCAAAAATTGGATGTATATAGACTGCTTTCTGCAAAGATGCCTAATTACAGCATATTCAGTTTAGATCGTACAAAATCGTATAAAATGAATAATAGTTAATATTTTTAATTGGCAATATAATAAAACTTATTTATTTCTCTTAACATTATTCCACATTTTAAAGCAATATGTTATTCATATAATTTATTTATTTTGTAATTCTTCGCTTTATACTTCAAAAGGCCTTCATTGAATAATTTTTTTTTTTTTAAATGTAAAAATTATGGCTTTTGAATTTGCTGCAGTTCTTTTTTTTATCTCACCCTGTATTATAAAACATATTTATTGCTCTTACTCTTCACCATTATTCCACACTTAAAAGCCATAATTGACATAATTTATTTATTTTATAGTTCTTCCCTACATCCTCCAAACGAATGGGCTTAAATATAGCATTGCAATATGTGGAATTTCTCTTGGTAGAATAATTTCCAATATGAGTCCATGTTTTTACATAGCTCCGATTTTAGATATTTTGAAGGCCCTAAATACACCACACACTCCGAAATTTACTATTTCGAGTGTGAAATAAGATACAGGCATAAACAATTGTTTACTTAGACACATAAATAAGTACTGTTAGATTTTATGTACTTTTTTTATTATATTGGGCATATTTTCCAATAAGGTTGGCTGTAATTTGGAATTTTGGATTCTCAAGGGATGAAATAATCGAACATTGCAAAAACTTTTAAATATAAATTAAGTGAATGTCAACTCTTAACATTTAACACCTAACAGTTCCATCCGATTTTAAAGTGTCTAGCCACATTTTTCAACTTTTGAGGCTTTAAGTGGGGCAACGGTCTGAGCAGTTATTTGACATGCCAAAGGGGCCCCATATAACGGTATCGTCCTATTTAAGTTATTTATACGAAGACTTATCCAACCGAATCGGTAGTAATTTCTTTCAAAATTCTTCAAATCAAAACTGTTTATAAATTAACATTTTGGAATTGTATCATTTTACAATCCCAAGATCAGCGATAAAACGAAAAAATTACCGTAAAGTGAAATTATTTCTGATAGAACTCCGTTGCCTTTAGTATTGGAAGGAAAAAGAAGTAAGAATATTTAAAAATCAAAATCAAACAGTTAGAAACTGGGCATCTGGGAACTACGTATCATTCGACCAAATTTGTCGAAAAAAAGCACCATATTTGTAGGTTAAAGTTTCAGATTTTTTTACGTGATGGATCTCAAGTGTTTAAAGCCTAAAATCTCCGAATACTTTAACTTACACATGTGCATTTTCGCTAATTCTTTCTCGGTCACCTTGGGTCCGGTGTGTCGTATGATTAATTTGTCCAAAAATAGCTATTAAATTGTTACGTTGAGTATACGTCACCGTCTACATTAATCATTCGTAAAAAAGTAAATGTAAGTATGTCTGTTCAACATTTGTAAATATTACCAGAAACCTTACTACAATCGTTCAGTTTTGCAGATTTTACTCTAAAATGTTTTATAATTTTCCTCCCAGGGCTTTACAACGTTATTAACACTAATTGAAGTGAAGTGAACACGCTTAGCTTTGATCAACGCACAACGCCCTCCCCGCTATGCGTTTCCTAAGCAAACATTTGTCCTGTTTGTGTGTAAATTTGTTCTATGTGTGTGCGAGAGTGTGCGTAGAAAAGGTAAATTTGTCCTGAGTGTATAAGCGTGTTGATTTAGTTTGCGTGAGGCGCCAATAAGTTGCCTCTTCCACTTTTCGGTTTCCTTTGGTTTTTTTTTTGTTTAGCGAAATTATGCAATCACGACAAAAAGTCACAAGAGTAAAAAGTTGAAGTCCTAAAAGCATGTATATATAGTTTTTTTGTCATATGCCTCGTCTTGTGTGTGAATGTGAGTGAATTTTCAAAAAACCCGCTACCACATACAGGGCAACAGGAACAACAACAACTGCTAGCTCTATAACGATATACATTTAAGCTTTTCATATTACCTCATTGTGTACACGACTCCAGGCTTTCCACACGGGCAGTATCGCCATATTGCCATCATAGCTGCGTTCAATACCGCGCCAACATTCCGTTATAACGTAATCGCTGTAGTCACGCGATGCTGTACCATCTTTTGTTTGAATGTGTGGATTTTTGTAGTTTCATTTTTTTTTTGGAAAAATTGCAAACATTGTTGTAGTTGTGTTTTTTAAGACAAAAAAAGTCGGCGCCATATTTTTTGGTTTTCATATAAACATCAAAGGGGTTGAGTTGGTTACCGGATGTACAGTCATCAAAATATGAAAGAAGGAGAAAAAAAGAATGGAAACCACCATTTAGTTTTCGTAATCTATGAAGTTTTTCGAAATGAGTTCGCAACATTCTTGTTGAGGTTAGTAAAGTTAAATAACGATATTATGACATATAATTAATATAGCATTATGTCTGAAATTAGTCTTTTGTTGTTGTTGTTGCACAACATATAGTTCATATTTATATGGCTTATTCATTCACCTTTTAAACGTTGACAGTATTCATAATTGCCACAACGGATCTCATCATCAATCAAAGCTTTGATTATGTCATTGCATGTTGTTTTATTTGTAACACCAGAAACGTAACGGGGTTCATCGCCAAGCCAAATCGTGATTTCCTTATGACCTTGTTCCTGCAATGATATAATGGCCAGTATAAGTAAGATATTTGTAATCACATTTTTTGTTATTGTTGGCATTAAAATTTTATTTAATAAATGAATCGACTCCAATTACTCCAATTTTAATTGTAAAGAAGCAATGAAAGCAATATTTCGACAGAAATAATTTCAAGCGGGAGGTTTTTATGAAATTTAAACAAAGTGAGAAAATTCTATCTTTTCTTATTGGAACTTAGATTTATTGATAATTACACTTTTTAATCTAGCTAATGTATCCAGATACTATTTGGAAACTATGCCAAACAGATAAAAACTATTTGAACCTATTATGTCCTCTACCATGGAAAACAATTTAAAGCATATTTGTTATCTTCAAAATTCCGAGCAAAAATTTTTGAAAGTTGTAAATATATAGACTTTTCTTATTGGGATAATTTCAAAGCAACAATATTTAAGGTCTAGTTTTGTGTTCAGGAACACCAAAAAACCTGGACCTAAGTTGGGCATTCTTTTCCAAGAAGATATTTTACTTTTTAATATTTCAAAATATCAAGTAACCGCCATTCGAATTGGTTGTATCTGCTATACGGAATTAAAGTCGAATCGTTGATCGGGACTTTAAATTTTTCTTGAGACGAGAATCCAAAAAACCTTATACATCACAATACCCAAAATCAAGAGGTACCACTATGTCAGGATTACATAAAAAAACAAGATCTGAGAATACCGTTTTATTGGTGCTGCACCAAATGGTAAATCTACATGGAAGCTATTATTTCGAAGATTGACTTTATCTACGGATTTTTGTTGAAAGTCGTGAACTTTACCAATACATGATACGACATGGACTACATAAGACTATTATTTTGAAGCCAAATTGATAAATTACAAAAAAATGGAATAGTAAGGTGGAGACACATAAGAGATTTTTTTCTGGCTTACGTCACCGAAATTGAACAAATTCAAGTTTGAAATGTGATAGTTTTTCAAAAATTTCGTTGCTTGCAGATATGCAGAACATGTTGCCATAGTGGAGAAATGAGTAGTTTTGCACGGTGCGTTGGATTTTATGTAACAGATCTACAAAAAAATCGACGCCGCCAACAAAACACTTCAACATAGTCACTAACAAATATTATTATTTTCAGAAATTTAATTGGACCAAAAATTATGTAACACCTCGAAATATCGGTCCCCGACATAGGACATATATGGATCTTTCTATCTCGCCAAGCTGAGTCGATCTAGCTATGTAGTCCGTCCGTCAGTCTGTCCATCTAATCTATACAGGTCACAATTAACTCTACAGGTCACAATTATGACCCGATCCTCACGACATTTAGGATGTAGATGGGGCTAGGGCCAGAATAAAAGCCTATTGTTTTGGAGATGATCGCATAATATTTAGGGGTTGAAATGGACCAAAAACAGAAAGATTTCCTGATTTTGCTGTTACTCAACAGGTCGCAATTATAGACAAATCGATGCGGAATTTAGCATGGGGCTAGAGTTTAGGGCTGGTAAGAAGGTTACCGAATTTCACTAAACTGCGAATATTTTCAATGCTGGCGAAATCACAAATGCACGAAAATGTCACTTCTCACCGTTACATTGATGCTCATATCCAAGTTATCGCATATATTGCAAAATATATACAATCTCATATATCAATGAAGGGGATGTTAGTTAGACCGCTTATATCTCAAGAACGGCTGGACGGATTTTGACAATTCTCACAAATTCGGAATGGCCCCTTGCCAGAAAAGGATAAAATCTAAGAAATCCGTTTGAAAATATGCCAATAAAAAAGTGAATATTTTTTCTACATTTTGTCATATTTTTTATCGTGTGAGATCGCAAAAATTTTTTGAATCTTTGGTGTTTTTTTGGTAAATTTTATTTCAATATTCTAGAATCACCTTTTATTTTTTTTATAAAAATATCATATTTATTGATTTATGAACATTGCTTACTCGAATACATAACATTTTTATCGATTTCAACGTGAAATGTTTTCAAATGTATTCTATAGTTCTCATAATATATTACGTCGATTACATTTACATAATTTGTAATTTGTTATATGTAAGTATACATGTATGTATGTTTGTATGTATTTGAATAAATAAAATAAAAGAATGTACTCACAATTGTACTATTTACGCCGTACAACGAAATGGAACGACTACGTCGGCTGCAGCCGCTGCGATAACTTCCGCTGCGCTGGTGTTTGTATTTGTGAAAATGACGTTTTTCCCTTTCCGTTTGTTCCCAATTACGTACAAAGTTGACATCTTGTTGATGATTGTTGTTGTCATTATTGTTATTAATATTGTTGTTGTTGATGTTGTTGTTGTGGTTCTTGCTATGATTGTTGTTGTTGTTATTCTTATCGTGATTTCGTTGGTTCTTTGGCGGCAATATGGGACTATAACGACTAATTTCTTCGGGTATATTAATCAACGAAGGACTAACATCAAGATTTTCATCGATAAGTGTGGAATTTTGTTGCGGAGCCATTTTGTTGTTTCTACACTGAAAAAAAAAAATAAGAACAACTACGATTAAAACCTATACATATACACCACAAAAACTATTAACAATATTTGGTTTGCCGGTATCACACATTATTATCATCATGCAATTTGAATATTTTCGTAACATCAACATGACATGCAAGTGTAATTTTAGAATTTGCTTTTCAGATTTTTGTTTTCATGTTAAAAAAAAACTTCTTTTCTTTTTGGAATGTTGTATAATGTTTTTGCTGTAATAACACTGTAATTCGCTAGGTCCTCCTACACAAAATATTTTACATGGTTGTATTCGCTGACCTGGCTAACTGTTATTGGGAAAAGGCTACAAAATTGAAACGAAAAAACGACGCCGCCACATTGTCGGTAGATTTTGTTTGTGGTTTTGTTGTTTGCAGCTAACGATCAATTTAGATTTGAACAAACGATAAAATAAATTACCCACCATGCACATGAAATTTCCAGCAATGAGGTGGCTTTTTTTGACAATACTCGAGTCCCTATTGCTCACGTTAGGAGGGTTGGGGTGGCAACGAAGGCAAAGGCAGGCCGTATGGTTGATTTGCCAGGCACATGCCCTCTAATTTGGTAAATGAACTCATGGTGCACCAAAACGGTGGTTAACCCTCAACCATTCTGTACTCCAAAGGAATTCAAGTGTTGTGTTCTCCTTTATCGCATAGAATGCATTAGTTTAAATATGCGAATGTATGTGTGTGTTTGTATGCATGCATTTCCTTAGAGTACATTGCGGGTAATGTTTTATTCCACCGGAAGTCAATAGTAAATTTTCATACTGCTTGGTTTTTATTCTTTCCTTGAAATATGAAAAATAAATGAAAGGCTGGGATTTGAAAACACATGGTTTGCATAAATTCAACGCCAATATTTTTTAGGATAAATTTGCATTGTTTATGTGGAAACTTTATGTAAATTTGCAGTTTTTATCAAAGTCCCATTTAACAAAGTCCCATTCTTGTATTGTGACTTTTCTTTAATTTGACACGGTTTTCCACATGGTGTTGGACTAAACCCGATTTTAAATCTACTCGATTTGCACAATTCTGAACTATATCTGGCTGTTACTTTTTGATAGAAATCGCAAAGTCGACACTTCTAAATTGAAGTTAGATTTTCAGCCAAACGTTTTTAGCAACACTATGTGTTGGGGGTATTATAAGTTAGCTTAGGCCAGAAATTATGTAACATCTCGGTATATTTTTTTTTCCCACATAGGAAAGTACATATATAGATCTTCCTATCTCGCCAAGCTGAGTCGATCTAGCTATGTATGTCCGCCCGTCTGTCTCTACAGGTCGCAATTATGGTCCGATCTTCACTAAATTAATAATGGAGGTGGAGATAGAGCCAGAAAAAATTCCTGGTTTTGATTAGACCAATCGTAGCGGAAGTTAGCATGGGGCTAGAGCTTAGGGCTGGGGAGAAGCCTCCCAATTTTGATGGTCATCGGGTAATATTGAGTGGGTGAAATAGACCATAACATTTGTGTTAAATAAAAGTCAAATTTACCTTTAAACCACGAATTTTTTTAATCCCGGCGAAATCACAAATAGACGAACAGGTCTATTCTGACCGTTACGTAGATGCCGATAGTAAATATATCGGATATATATATATATATATATATATATATATATATATATATATATATATATATATATATATATATATATATATATATATATATATATATATATATATATATAATGAAATATATAAAATGTGTATATACAAATGGAAGGAATTTTAGCTAGAGTGCTTACATCTCAAGAATGGCTGGGCCGATATTGACAAATTTTGTCACTTCAAAATGCCCTTTTGACATAAAAGAATAAAATCTAAAAAATCGCATAAAAAATGCCAATAATGATGTTAATATAGATTTTGTAGTATTTTGTGACACTTTTTTATTTTTTCATATTTTTATCGCATGCGATTTTTTCAATTAGCCTTATAATATTGAAGTGTATATTTTGTAAGATTTTTTTCGCCTTACAACACAGGTAGGGGTTATAATATACAGATTGCAATTATCGTCCGATCCTCACGAAAATGTTCACAAGGGTAGGGTTAGGCTCAGATGAGCTGGGTCTTTTGTTTTTTATTTTCAAAGATGTCCGCAATATATTTAGGGGTTGAAATGGACTAAAAACTAAAAATGTTCCTGATTTTGCACCCGTTATAAAGGTCACAAATAGAAACCAAAGAACACGAAATCTCGCATGAAGTTAGAGTTTAGGACAGCGGGTAGAATGGACCACTACTTTTGTGTGAACAAATACCAACTTTTCCATTCTGCCGAAACACTGAAAATAACTCACAGGCGACATCCAAAATACACAAAAGGCGAAATTTTATGCTGATTTCGTTAACGAATATAGCCAAATATCGCATACAACACAACCTCTCTTCCTTTTGGAGATAATCGCAAAATATTTCGGCGTTCAAATGAACCAAAAAGATCACACAATTGAAACAAATCGACACGGAATTTTGCATGAGAAGAGAGTTACGGACAGGAAAGAAGTCTAGCATTTTGGATGACCATGAGATTATATTTACCTGTAAAATGAACCAAAACAACTAACAGCATGACGGAGAGCTTAAATATTTGGCAAATGTACCCGATCAAGAAGCCTAAGGGTAACATGTGGGAAGGGCTCTATGACATCATTTCAATCACGAAATCTTCCAAAACGGATTTGGACATAAGGGGGCTTGTAACATATTGTAGTTTTGTAGAGTATCACATGGTCGTCCCCGCACGATTGTAGCTTTTGCTTACTTGTTAAAGATTCTTTAGCTTCGGGATACTTGCGTTTGTTCTGACTTTGACGAATCTAATGGAAATGATATGTGAGGGTTTTCTATGAAAATTCAAACAGATATAATTAGCGATGATAATGTTTACCAGGTGGTAAGGCAGGGAATACCTAGGTTTCCGAAAGAGCCACCAATCCTCATCAGTTTCCTTGTTTTTTGTCCGGGATATTCTCCCCAGAAGTTATTTCTAAAATAACTAACTAAGGCACGGAATACCTAGGTTTCCGAAAAGGCCACCAATCCTCATCAGTTTCCTTGTTTTTTGTCTGCGATATTCTCCCCAGATGTTATTTTAAAAATAGTTATTTTATAAATAACTTCTGGGGAGAATATCCCAGACAAAAAAACTAGAGAACTGATGAGGATTGGTGGCTTTTTCGGAAACCTAGGTATTCCCTGCCTTACCCCCTGGTAAACATTACCATCGCTCTCCACTTAAAAACAAACGTTGTTTTTATAAAAACAACAATAAAGGGATTAAGCCTGACCATTTTGCAACAACAAAATACTATTGTATCCCGAACAAACAAGCGAAAACTGTTTTACATAAACTTTAAAGCATTGAAAATGCACACAATATCAATAATGATTTGATAATCATCTGAGTTTCCCTCTCGTATCAGATTAGAATCTAATCTAATCATTAGATTTTTATTGGCACTTTTTTTTACTTGAAATAAATGCAAGTTATGTATAAAAGTCAAAACAGTATCTAAATATATATGCAATTATTTTAAAAAATGTACTAAAATTTTGTAAATTTAATAAAAATATTTTCACTTTGTTCTCATGAAATATTCAAACACAATACCTACTAGAATACGTGAACGCCTCAAAGTATGCTTTCAATCACTCTAACTAAAAACTAATCGAGAATGTAGACGATTCCCTTTGATGTATAGCGGACAGTGAAATTAATAAATAATAAGCCATTGGTTCGCCGACCTTTTGTATTGGCGACCAGCAATATACATTCAAGTCGCCAATTACTATTATTGCCACCCACTAGTGGGAAGTCTGAAAGAAATTTAGACGCATTTCAAACACTTTTCAATGTCAATTTGTCTTCGATGAGGGGGAAGGTTTGCATGTCTTTCAATGGTTCTTCAAAAATGAAATACGTACATACGATATACACATAAATGTTCGTCGAAGTGATTTTTGATTATAGTTTTCCAAGTAAATATCCATTCATTTGTCAATACATTAAATAAGCATATGTACAAATGTGTATATTTAACTTCCTAGCCGATTCATGAGTTAAGTGTATTAGAAAATTACATTGGGGAAACGAATATTAAAATAAAATAGGAGAGGGAAATGACCAGTAATGCTTGAATTAAGTATTAATTGTGTCAATAGGAAACAAGGTTCGGATTCGATTCGTTCATAATATCTAATAACATAAATCGAGTTGGAAACTATTGCAATAAACTAAATTAATTTGAATAATGTGTTTACATACTACTATTTGTTATTGCTTTCGTAGAATAAACAGAGGATTAGATTACACGTATTTGTTAAAGTACCGAAACACGGCTAAATTGATTTTCCTCGAATATTCAAAATTCATACCTAGCTCTGTAAGAGAATCTACAAAAATATGTCGAATTGATCGTTTTTTAATTTAATAGAACACACGAGCAATTTAATAAAACTATGCGTTTTAGGTGTAAAAGGGCTGACAATCCTGGATAGTCAAATTTGGCTGAACAAGGCATTTTGCCCTTATTACTATAATGTGATTGACTACAACAATCTCATGCAATCATACGATTACAACTTTTTTATTTGATGTCCTAAACAGTCAAATTTAAATTTTGAGGATCTTCCTTTAATATGAGCGTATAGTTGAAAAGAAATTTAGATTTCTTTCCGACCAAATATCTGGCGAACGACTATATGATATCCTATACCATGACATATACCATATCATGATATTAGAATTTTCACAATTTCGGAACTATATCCAAGTCCGATTTTCAACAAATTTGACATAGGCTTTTCCACCTCTAGTACCAAATAATATCTCTGTATATAGAGGATGAGATGAAAAAACTGCAACCAACTTCAGACTGCTGTCATTTCTAAGCCACTCGTACGACAGCTGTTAAAATTATTCCAGTTACAGCTTATTATATTGTTTACAAGCGTACAAAAATATTTTGGTGAGAATTTTCCAAAAAAAAGTTATTCGTGATGGAATTCAAGCGTGGTAGTGTGATTTCTTTATATTTGTCTGGAAAACCACAAGTGGCTATCGTTAGTGCACTCCAGCATTTAAATGTGAATAAATATTTTATGTCTCGTACCATCGCTCGTTATCGTGATACTGGTAGCGTATTTCGACGTCAAGGAAGTCGACGGAAGAAAACAGCAACATCAGCAGAAATAGTTTGAAAAGTAAAGAAGCGACTTGATCGAAACCCGCGTCGCTGTGGCCGAAAAATGGGCACTGATCTGAACATATCGCAATATTCCATTCGGCAAATATTTAAAAATGAGTTCGGAGTAAAGCCATTGAAATTCCAAAAAGTGCAAGAACTTACACCGCAACAGAAAGAAAATAGACTCAAAAGAGCTAGAGAGTTGCTTCGCTTGGCCGAAAGTGGTGAACAGCCGAATTTGGTTTTCTCCGATGAGAAAACATTCGTTGTCCAGTAGTTTGTAAACAAACAAAATGATCGTGTTTACTTGCCAAAAAGGTCAGCTGAAAATGTGCACCTTCGATTGGCCACCAAAACTCAAACGCCGGCCATGGTGATGGTATGGGCCGCCATAACAGCTGATGGTCGTTCTCCGCTCGTATTAATCTACCGTGGCATCAGAATAAATGCCGATTATTATCGCGAAAATATTCTGGAGTGTGTATTAAAGCCTTGGCCACGCAAATACTTTGGTCGCAGACCTTGGACATACCAACAGGACTCAGCACCATCGCACTCAGCACGCGCCACCCAAGAATGGTTACAAAATGAGGTTCCTCGCTTCATTTCCAGCGCACAATGGCCACCAAAAACCCCGGATACCAATTCGTTGGACTATAGTGTCTGGAGTATTTTGGAAAGCAAGGTTGGCACTAAAAAATACAAAAGTGTGGATCACTTCAAGCAAGCGCTTCGCCGGGAATGGGCTAAAATACCGCAGAGCAACCTTCGGGCAGCGTATGACGGATTCATTGGCCGTTTGAAGGCCATAATTCGTGCCAAAGGTGGCCAATTCCAACAAATCTAAACTAACTCTAAAATTTTATGCTATTTCCGGCATATTTTGCTTTCATTCAATAAAATGTAAAAAATGTTAAAATTATGTCGTGTGACTTTGTTACAGCTTTTTTATCTCACCGTGTATACCGGGCCGAGTTTTACCAAACCTAAAATTCGGTTGAATATGAAAACACCTATTCAATTTGGGCTGATATTACATATATAGTGAGCAAAAAACCGTAAAATCAGATGAAGATGTATATCGGAACTACGTAAAAATCAAAATCGATCTCGATAAAATTTGGCAGAGGTATTTTCGACCAGTGTCTGATGCCCGATATCAAATATCATTGCATATTACGCCTGTGAGGGACTGTATGGGAGCTATAGATATATCTCAGCCGATTTTCATTAAACTGTTTCTACTTTTGTTTGTAATTGTTTCTAGGATGAATTTAGTCGGAACTGCCAAAATTTAGTCCATTTGGGCTGATGATAGCCATTTGTGCACAAAAAACCTGAAATTGGATTAAGATATATATCATAGCTCCCAAATCTGAACCGATCTTGACAGAATTTTAAACACCTAATTTTGAACTGTATCTGATATCTAGTAGCAAAAATTATTGTTGTGGAGTGCATATTACGCATTGGATAAAACATATATTGGAGCTATATATCTGAATCGATTTTCACCAAATTTGATGTACTTGCTTCCAGCATGAATTCAGTCGGAATTGTTAAATTTGGTCCATTGGTCTGCACAATAAATCCGATCTCCATAAGTTGTATGGTACCAAATAATAGTTTTGACGGAGTGCATATTACACATGGGAAAACACCAAATCGGATGAAACATATATATGGAAGATATAGTTATATCTGAACCGATTTTCACCAAATTTGATGTACTTGCTTGAGTAGATACTGTCGGATTTGCCAAAATTCAGGTCATTTGGGCAGTTCACAAAAATACACGGACAGACGGGCGGACAGAGGGACTGACAGGCATAAATCGACTCAGAGAGTGATTCTATGAAGATCCTCAAAAGTAACTTCTTTCTTCTTTCCATAAGGGTTGCCATATTCAATTTTGCAATTGTTTTGCCATCATGAAATACAAAATTTTTGCGAGCGTTGTTAACAAATCTCAAAATTGGGATTGGTCAATTATCAGGGATATACCGTATAAAGATTTGGTCGGAATAATGAGCATTCTCATTTGTACAAAAGGCATAGTGACATTTTCAGACGGAATCTGTTTTCCATATCTGCAGCCGCTTCTTTTATGTTATGACTAGTTTTCAATTTTTTTTATATTGGAATTCGTATGTTAATTGAACAATTTTTTACATAATATTTTTAACTTTCTAACCAATTTTGTTAATTTATTTTTCCATATCAATGCAATGACGAACAAACAATAATACTGAAAGCATTTGACAGTAAGAGTTTTTGGTACAAAACAAAAAAATAATAAATTCAATTTAGATAAAACGATTTAAAATATTTTTCGAAATACGTTACTGTGTTTTCTTCGGTGTTCAGATCGCATTAACATTTGACACCCAAAGAACCACAGAATCTAACAGATAACAACTGTGAATTCTCCCAGTGCCAAGAGTTAACACCGATCAAGGGGCACGCTTTTTTTACAAATCTTATCATTTCAAATATTTCTGAAAACTTAATTGAAAATATTTGTTTAGAAACTTACATTTTTGTTGCAAATAGAAATCCTTGTTTTCTGCCTCAGTCTTAATTGTAGTTCAGCAAAAAGTTTATGGCACTTTGATTTGAAATTTAGAAATGTAACAAAATCAAAACACTTTTCGTTTTTTTTTTTAATAAAAAATCAAAACTCAAATAAAAATAAAAATTAAAAAATCGAATTATTTGCTTTAAATTGTCATTGATATATTCTGGCACTGTTGTTCCACACACTAATGTTCCAATATCACTAATGTTCCAATGTCTGGCAATTGTCTCTAGTTTAGATCCTTGCTGGTGGAAAGCATGTTAATCCTTTGAGCTTTCATTCTCGACTACTTTTCACATTTGAATTTCTGTTACGATTTTAGCACAAGTCTAGGAACTTTGGCTAGATGTTAGGCGTCATTTCTAGTTTCTGTTGCTGTTTTTGTTGTCGCTGCTGCTGCTGCTGCTGCTGCTTCTACGTTCTAACAGCTATGGGTTGTTGTTGTAGATTTTTCCTTTTGAGTCTATCTCTGTTTAGCAAAATGCATTAGCGTTCGCCAGTGTAAGGCTCTTGCTGTTCAGGACACTTCTTGGGCCCGCTTATATGTTTGTATGTATAGGGCCAGTAGGATATGTAAATATTTCTCAGAATTGTTGGCAATAGAGTGTAATAATGACTGAGTTTCTTTTCGTTTTTCCACAGTTAGTTTGTTCTTTTTTTCCACGAGTTATGGTTTTTTTTACGTTGGCTGGTCACGTTACTGGGGCAACGGACAGTTTAAACATAGCATTTCTTTGGTCGCGAGCTCTAGCAGAATATGTAACGCACAGTATCCTTGACGACGAGTGACTAACTTGTATTTTATTTGTTACCACAAAACTTAAGTTAGACCAAAATCGAATTGATATGAAACGAAATGAGCACAATAATATCAAAAACAAAAACAACAACAGAAACAAAAACTCCCTAGTAAAAGAACCTGTCGTTGGCACCTTACTTCCACCTTGCCTCCGTTCGTCCGTCTGTCCATCCATCCGTCCTTTAGCTCATTCGTCATATGTCCACCTCCTTAGCTATGCCGTTCAATAGGGGTAAGTTTTGTTTCGTGCAGGTGTGTCTGTTGGTAGAGCTGAGCACGAGTAGTGCTATTAACCTGGTTGGTATGACAATGGCAATGGTATTGCCGGTGGTGGTAGTTGTAGTGGTAATATCAGTGGTAACAACAGAAATATGTAGCTGCAGCGGTTACAACGGCGGTGGTAGACAAGCGATAGGGCCAACAAGCACCACTCGCACTTCCAATGAGGAAGAAGGAAAGAACGAACAATGCTGTCGTCATAACCATCATCATCATCAACATTGCAAGCATTGTCGCAGTTGTAGAAAATAACTAAAAAACCGAGTCTTTTCTTTGTAGCGATTACGTATTCGATTTTAAAGGATACTGAAGAATTCATGAATTCATTTAAATCAAAGGATACTAAAAGACTATTCAATCCTAAAAATTTGAAATTACACCATATTAAAAAATCATATTAGGAAAAAAGCTTTTTTGACTATTTTAAGAGTGGGAGAAAGAGAAAAATTTCATAGGAATCGGCCCATTTTATCGTGGTCTGCCCAAATTATTTCAAATGACACTAAACTGCATCAATTGAAAAATAAATAAATAAATAATTAGCAAAGATTTGGGTCAGGGTTTGGCAATATTTAGAGATCTTTATATTTCAGGTTTGGAGGAATAATTTTTTAATTTCCACCACTTTGACTCCGATTTGGAAGCGCAAAGGACAACTTTTTACAAAACTAAAATATTATAAATGCTCCTCTCTTAATGCTCTCCTCTCTTCTCCCTTACTATGTTAATGTTTCATCTATTAAAGTACATTCCTGTGGCTCATTTATTTTGAAAATGTCTTCAATTGTGGATTTTAAAGATAGTTTCCAAAGAAATTTGGCAGAGCTATGTTAGTGAATAGAGCTCCAGTTCGCATTAGTAAACAAAGCAGATCTCTCATTGTTATTGATTGGGGGTACGCGAAATCTTCCTGAGGATGCTTGATGGTATGGGTCGCCATGGTGATGGTATAGGCCGCCATAACAGCCGATGGTCGTTCTCCGCTCGTATTAATCTACCGTGGCATCAGAATAAATGCCGAATATTATCGCGAAAATATTTTGGAGTGTGTATTGAAGCCTTGGGTACGCAATCATTTTGGTCGCAGACCTTGGACATTCCAACAGGACTTAGCACCATCGCACTCAGCACGCGCCACCCAAAAACGGTTACAAAATGCGGTTCCTCGCTTCCATCTACGCGAAATCTTCCTGAGGATGCTTGACGCCATCCCGCTCAAACCAAACCTGACTGGTGTGCCCCAAAAGAAAAAAATCACACAAACAGTCATGCAGAAAATTGACGAACGAAAAATATGCTGCAAAATAACCCAGTATCGTAATATAACATTGATAGGACTCGGAACATTGATCGGACTCGTCATGGGATAAGGTTATTTTCCGGAAATTTGTTCTACATTTAAGTTTTTTTTGCCTAGTTGGACTATCCTGAAATGAGTTGGGGGTATATGGGAGCACCGAGTTAGTGGTAAGGGCTGGGCAGAAGCCTTTCTATTTGGATGGTCATTGGATAATATTTAGCGGGTGAAATTTCCATTAACCGCGACCATTATATTGACGCCAATATCCAAAACATCGGATGTATAGCAAATTAGACACAATATATATATATATATATATGTAAAATAAATTGATCTTAGTCATTTCGCTTATATGTCAAGAATCGCTGGGCTTATTCTCACCAGTTTCATGTGGTCTCTTGTCAGAAAAAGAAAAAAATAAGAAAATAGCGGAAAAAATTTCAATTTTTTTATCGCATGCTATATTTTCAATTTGACTTAAAATTTTGAATTGTATATTTAAATATGTGTTTAAGGTATTATATACAGGTCGCAATTATCGTCCGATCCGATCACAGGGATAGGTTAGGGTCAAAACTGAAGCCTATTACTTAAAATATGTACATTAAGGGGTTCAAATTTACCAACAAATTAAATTTTGGGTTATATTTAGTGGTAAAATGGACCACATCTTTCGTGTGAAATTGTTTTGAATGCCTATCAGCACGACAGAGAACGGAAAGTTGGGTAAGGGTAACATCTGGGCAGTGCTCTATGACATCATTACAAAAACGAAATCTTCCAAATGGACTTGGACAAAAAGGCCTTTCAACATATTGTAGTGATGTAGGGTATCACATAGCCGGCCCCGCACGACTATAGGCTTTGCTTTCTTGTTTAATTTATTTTTGCTTGTCAATATTCTCAAATATTTTTAACAAGGGCCATGAGTAATGTTACAGTAGTGGATGTTTAAGGATTTTTTTTCGAAGAACCGAAATTAAAGACTTTTAAGGATATTTTACTGGAATTGAAATCAACTAAAATAAAGGTTATATTAAAACTGTGAATCGGTCTACAACTCCTCCCATAAAGGATATATATTCTTGATCAGACTAAAATGTAATGACATTAAAGGTCCTTGAAAAATTGGTGTTGAAAATGAAAACGTCGAAATTTCTTTGGATGAGTTGTTATGGCTCCCATATAATAGTAGTTCCTGACTTAATGTTATTTTGGTGGCTTAGCTATAAATTTCAAATACCTTTGCTGTAAATCGACCGTTTGTGTAACCCAGGGGGTAGATACAATTCTAGCAAAGAACTGTCTATATAGGGCCAAGTTATGAAAAAGACAGCATGTTGGAGAGTTTATTGATCGTCCGTCCGTGTATTCTTGTGAACAAAATGCAGGTCGTATTTATTATCCGATTAAGATGAAATTTTCCAAACAATATTTGTTTGGCCCAATGACGAATCCTATTGAAATTGTTGATAATCGGATCAGATTTAGATACAGCTCCAATATATCTTCAACCGATTTCGGGTTAATTGTGCACCAAATTGCCATATAAGTCCAAATGATCTGAATTTTGGCACATCTAACCGAATTCAGTCTAGAAGCGAGTACTTCAAATCCGATTTGGTGTTTAAGTCCCTCACACGCATAATATGCACTCCACAACAATGATATTTGATATCAGATACAGCCCAGAAATATCTCTGTCAAATGTTTTCGAGATCGGATCAGATTTGGATATAGCGCCCATATATAGCTTAATCCGATATCAGGTTTATTGTGCACCAAATGGCTTATATCATCCCAAATGACCAGATGTCAGATACAGCTCAGAAATAAGTGTAAAAAAATATTGTCAAGATCAGTTCAGAGTTGGATATAACTCTTTATTCGACTTCAGGTTTATTGTGCACCAAATGGCTAATATCAGCCCAAATGGACTTAAGCGAGTATTTCAAATTTTGGTGAACATCGCTTTAGAAATAGCTATAGCTCCCATATATATGTTTCATCCGATTTGGTGTTAAACAATGATATTTGGTTCCATATATGGTATAGAAATTCCCTTTGCAGAATTTTATGGAGATCGGTTCAGAATTTCTATTTTACGGTAATTGTGAACCATATATGCAATATCAGCCCGAATTGGATAGATTTTTTCATATTCAACCGAATTTTTCCATTTGGTAAAACTCTGTGCGGTATAGGGTAAGTATACCAGCAGTCGGCACTTTTAGGATTTTCGCGTTTTTAATCGCTCACCATTCTGAGTGGAACTTTTCAATTATTACAAAGTTAATTTATTCAGATTCGAAATTTTGTATAGTTTTTGTAATAATAAATAAAGTTTTAATAACTTTTTATTAAATTTCATAAATTTGTAGTTTTATTAAAACAATGGTTTTTGCCAGTAGTCGTCACCACTTGCTAATTGTCGGTATGGTATGTTCCAACAGTCGGCATAACAATTTTTTTGTAAGAATAATTAATAATAATAATAAATTAATTCATTAAAATATAATATTTTTGTTTAGTTAAACTGATTCGCCGTCTTTATTGCACTTTTCTTAAGAATATGGATTGTTGAGGACCTTCACAGACAAAAATTTAATGTTTATTAGAATAAATCATATTTTCTTAGCGAAATTGTACACAAGATAGCTGACAATATATTTGAAGTAAACAAAATATATTTAGTTATAATAGTTTCATTTATTTTTGCTTAAAAAAAAAAGTGCCGGCTACTGGGACATGCCGAACTTAGGCACACTTACCCTATCTATTGCTCTAATACATATTTTTGAACATTATTCTTATCGAAGTCAAATCATTCACTATACATTAATGTTATTTGGTACTAGAGGTTCAAAAGCCTCTGTCAAATTTGTTGAAAATCGATTTCCCGAATTGTGACTACTCTAAAGCCATTATACGCATTCAAATGGAGTTCATAGTTGGTATGTATGTCTATGTCGCATAAATTCCCAATATAAACTTATTTGTTACAGGAGCTCTACTAAAAACGCATAGTTGTGTAGGGTATCATATGTTCGGCCCCGCCCGACTTTTGACCTTTCCTTAATGTATTTTTTACCAGTATAATACTAGTTTTGTTATTATACCCTCCACCTTGGAAAGGAGGGTATATTAACTTTGTCATTCCGTTTGTAACATCCCTAAATATTCGTTTTAGACCCCATAAAGTATATATATTCATAATCAGCATAAAATTCTAAGTCGATTTAACGATGTCCGTCTGTCTGTCTGTCCGTCTGTCTGTCTGTCTGTCTGTCCGTCTGTCTGTCCGTCTGTCTGTTGAAATCACGATACAGCCCACATTATTTGACGTAGAGCTCCAAAATTTAGCTATTTGCATTGTGTCTAGGATGGTTGGTATTGAAAATGAGATATATCGGTCC